TAAAATTCGCTTAAATATCTTTTATACGAACTTCGGTTCAAACTAATACAAAACAATGCATTAATTATCACCAACAATATAGCACTTTGCCCTTCCTTAAATATGCCAACAGTAATCAGCTGCAAGATAATTATGTCAAACAGCATTCCAATAGTACTTATCTGCAAATATTATTTCAACCTTATTCCCTTATTTGTAAAGTTGTATTTCGTATCTAGGTAAAGCATGTGGTCCTTTTATGAGGAAAGGGGTTGATTTATGCCTGCATAGGTCGTCCAGACATTGCGCAGTGACTCGTGCGGACTATCTCTGCTAATTAAACTGGGTTATTGCGTCTGGGAATTGTATCATAATTTCTGACAACAGGAATTTAATCAAATACTTACTTCCAGATAAAATGTTCTTTCAAGAAATGTTTTAAGGCTTATCGTCTCTTCATTACCTTTTTTTTTATGCAATAGATCGGCGATACGAGCATACGGATTACCTGATGGTAAGCAATCAGCGCCGCCCATGAACACCCGCACCCGCAAGGAGGAGTTACGAGTGCGATGCCGACCTTTTAGGGATTGAGGAGAGAAGAACGCTGTTCTTGTTTCACGCCGATTTTCTGTGAGTCTGTGTGGAAGGTCTAACGTTATATTAAAAAAATATTGGTATTGAATATGTAGGTAGGTCTTTTAATGTTGTAGGTCGGCTAGTGACTAGATGAATAACCTGATGGTAAGCAATCGGCGTGCTTATGGACACCCCCAACAACACTAAGAGCGTTGCCCACCTTTTGTGGGGTTTGCGTTTGCGGGATGGGGGCAAGGATGGGATCAACTCCTCCTGTAACCTCACTCACACAGCGGAACACAATGCAAACGTTGTTTTACTTCGGTATTCTGTGAGGCCGTGGTATCACTCAGGTCGATTTGAGTCATTCGTGCCAAAAGGTAGCTTTTCAATACCAATATGCATAGTTATTTCTTTATATGTATATTATTTATAAATGTACCTTTACTTGTTAGTAGATTAGATAGTAAGTAGCTCGTGCTTTCTAATCAAATATTTGGTTAATTATTTTATAACAAGCTTTTGCCCGCGACTTCGTTCGATAAAAACTATCCTATGTCCTTTTCCGAATTTCAAACTATGTCTGTACCAAATTTCACAGAAATCGATTCTGTAGTTTACGCGCAAAGAAAAGATAGACAGACAGAGTTATTTTCGCATTTATAATATTAGTTTCGATTAAATATTGTAAATAGGGTAGGAATGTTATAATAATCAATAAGACAGAGACAAGAAGAGAGTGAAAGAGATAAAGAGACTAAATAAACAATTTTGATTATTTTATTTGTCTGTATCACTCTGGTCAAGCAAGTTTCTCTAGAAATTTTCCAATTAGAACGTTTTAACAGATTATGTGATAAGAATCATTGCCGCTAGATCATGTGATAAGCAATCCGTGCTGCTTATGTAGGTACACCGCCAAAATACTTTAATTTATATCACAACTAGCCACTCTCGCGCGGTTTCACCCGCTGCTCGGCTCCTACAGATCGTAGCATCATATTTTATAGCCTATAGCAATCAGGAACATTGTAACCATCTATCAGTGAAAGAATTATGGAAATAAATCCGTGGTGGTGTGTATGTGAAATTGTGTTTGTAAGTCCACCCACGACACAGGAGAAAATCCTAGTATGGGGCAACGTTTTTATAAAAAAAGAAAGAAAGTTCCATGGATTATTTACCTCCTACATACAAACTTTACAAAACTAGTATACTTAGATGGATTACACAACAACATTGACTAACAGTGTGAGACCATTTATATTATCACGACACGATATAATGCGTTCTGAAAAACGGATCAAAATAAAAAATAAAACATTGAGATTGAAAGATAGCGGAGAACTAAGGCATCATTCAAGATTCAATATAACATCTCCTTTACCGGGTTGTAGAAACGAAACAACAATCGGTAGATTTTGGGATATCTCAAGATATTAGATAGAGTTCTTATGAAGAACCACTCATAAGATCGAGAAAAATTTTTAAAGCCACTTTTAAGTCTTTGACTGTCGACATTGACATCATTGTCCTACATGGTGATCTAACTGTTAAAGGGTGCAAGAAGAAAAACAACCATCCACAATACTAATGCATTTATTTCATTACACATATACCTATATACAAAACAAGTACACATAATCAAAATTAATATCACATCAGAAAATACAAAGCTAACAATTAAGCCTAAAAAATAATTTACAAAAAACATTCAAAATTCGGTTACAAAATATTAATGACGTCACTTTAAATAATGTCAAAATGTGCTCTTAATGTCAAGGTAATTATGGGCCGTTTGGAGCGCACACCGGAAAAACATCATTAAAAAACATTTTGGGAACAGGACGAGAAAATGAAGAAATACGTCCACCAATGTATGGTTTTGTACAAGTGATTTACAAAATCGTGCTATTTTCTCTATCAAGTAAATTAATTAGAAGAATAATAAATATTATTATTGGAGTGTGCACTCGTAATGGCCATGTCAATTTAGGTAAGAAGTTAAAAAGCTCGATGTCACAAAGAGTCTTAATAAAAGTGTTTTTGTACAGAAAAATAGTTTTCAAGTTGGTCATATTATATTTACTATTGACGTCACAAAGCGAAGTCACTCGAATAGCGAAAAGTCGAAACATGTAATAAACTTTAACATTCAGTATATTAAGCTAAAAGTTTTTTACATTTCAGACGTTTTCTTTATGTACAGTTGATAACCGAATAATTCTTATGTTGGTGCCCATTCTTGTAAGGATCAATAGACATCGAAACGCGAGCCAACGTTACTATAACGGAGAGCTTAGTGCGAATTTGCTTTACGCTAAAGCAATCGACACGTTTATAAGCTTCGGCGCTCCGATTGGCCTTTTTCAATTTAACCAACCAATCAGAGATCTAAACGCAGTAAAAGTACAAATAGATGATCGAACCGAGTGCGTTACCGACATTCTGGGGATTAGGGATTGGTAACAGGTAGGTCCAGTAAACTCACTCACGCGGCGAAACTCAAAGTAAGATAAATAAAATTCGCACTAGGCACGCAGATAATTCGCGCTGGGCCACGTTTCGCTGCAAGACGCATCATTTCAAATACGTAACACTTCGTGTAGAAAGCAGAGTTGTATTTTTTAAGTTACTCTTTTAAATGCTCACAACGTTGTGTCACGTCTCTATTTTAGCTTACCCAAATTTTCCAATTGAAACTACGTATTTAATTTATCTTAGGCGTTGTTCACAATATCCGATTATGTTTCTGTCTGTTAGTCTAAATGTCGGTAATAATATCCATAGGAAATGTGACAAAACATGAGTCAATTAATCTAAATTTCTAATTAGATATTTTGAAACAAATCCTTAATAGCCAAAACAAATCTTATATCTTAAAACTAATCGAATAAATATAGGTTTATGCGTTTCAATTCATATATAACTTTTATAAGAAAATACTGTAACATCACAATTATGTTTTAGGGAACATTTTTTTTTATAATATCAATAGATTTTATTTTCAACGTCAACATATAGGTTAGTCCTTATTTATATTATTATATATTTTCTGTATTTACATAGCACATGTCTATAGGAGTAAAGTTCAGATCAGATCAAAATTTCACATGAATCAAAAAAGAGATTTTTTCAATAGCAGTTTTGATTTTTCGCTCTTAAAAGTTATACGCATGACGGTACATTTTTGTGTGGCAGATATCTGCAATGTTAGTAATGCCGTACTCAAAGACATTTAAAGATTACTTAATACAATCCTTAGTGACTGTTTTCGGAGTAAAGTCGTTACTAAGTAAAATTTAATTATTAAATGATGTCCGAGTATGGCAATTATACTTAAAATACCTGAACAAAATATGAGTAGATGTTTCTTAAAAAAAAAAAAGATTTAACGCATCTATGAATTATGGATTATTAATAGTAACTTAGATCTCAATAATTTAGGACAATGATTTAGGTAAACAAATGGGTTTTCTTCCAAAGAAACCCTTTTATCAGTACTAATAGGTACATAATTCTACTAACAGGCACTTTAATTTATCTACAAGTAAATTGAGACTATATTATTATAATTTGTGTAACTAAAAACATCAACACTAATTCCCCAGAGACTAATCTAAAAGACAAAACTAAAAATTACGATAAAATTTTTGATTTTTCCAAAAAGCTGTATGAAGTATTTGAATAAACATTAAAATTACAACTATAATTTAAAATACATAGTTAGGTTTGTTAGTTTCACATTATTTCACTATTATATTGAACTAAGTCTCAGCCGTATTACTTTTTTTTTTATTTCTACCGTTTATACAGGGTGTAGCTGGAAGTATGGATAACAACAGATCAAAGTTTGATCCATACTTTCAGGTACATCATGTATAACAAAAAATAATAAATAATTGCTAAAATTGTCTTATATAAACTTTTCACCGTTTAGTTGAAATGGACTCCGTAAAATTATACCCAACAAAGTGTAATAAATTTCGATAATAGATTGTTTCAAAGAAATAATTTAAAACACAAATAAATGAATAAACTTTCAATACTTATTTCGTGTTTCAAATTTATATCATTTCGCTAATCTCTAAACTTTACTATAAGTCTAACAGTTTCAGTTTCAATTTTATTTTAATTGAATAATTGTGCAATTCAAGTCTAAATTATATTTTGTCACACGACAATTTCAACGATGAATTCTAGCTAGCTGGGATTTTGATAATGATTTTGCAATAGTCAGATAAATGAAATAAATAGTCTGAGAAATAAAATTGTTGCTGTCACTGTCTTGTACAAACATTCTGACGCGACAGCAACATAATTATTTCCCAGGTTACTCTTACTTAACCAATGCAAAATCAGCCCTAAATGAAGTTTTAATGAGCAATGTATTAAGATGTTTTTAATGCGTACAGAATAAGTGTTTTTATATCGACAATAACGTACAAAAAAAGGAATATCGAATTTGGTGCAGTCATTCGAAGTTAAGCGTAGCTTGTGATTAATGCTGTTTTCACATGTCATCAAATACAATTCTTTTAGTCATCGTTCAGAGAAATTTGGACGATTTTCGCTATTTTCCATGTACCCACATAATCCGCAGCTATCATAAATTTGAAACTAAGGCTGATTTTTATCATACAACACACAAAACATGGATGATATGTAGCCAACTATATAATCATACCAATTTGACAGGTCTCTCAATGTACCTTACTCATCGTCAGTGAACCTTGCAGGGGGGTTTCTCTGCTTGCAGCGCCGTACTATGACGAACGTGATACCTGAGAGTGCCAGGAGGATAGGCACTCCTAATCCGATCGATATGATGATGATCACGAATAGGGAGAAGCTTTCTACTGGTGGGATCCCGTAACCTATCGTAAATGACCTGTAGAGAGGAAAAATTGTATTATTATTATTATTTTGTTGGATCCTTCAGTACTTCAGTTCCGTTTTAGGACATGAAATAGTAGGTTGGTACTAGTTGGTTGTAGGTGTTCATTTTGAGGAAGTATTTATTCATTTTGATGAAATGAAGAACGGGAAAAAAGATTCTCTTTCTCTTTCTTTCTGTCACAGATGCCATACCAATAGTCCGATAAAACGGTTTTATTGCAATGAAAGCGTTCTGTACTTTGAATTTTAACAAACTTAAGTATTTTTTATACTCAATATACATATGGTTGAGTTTCGGCCATAATTCTAGATATTTGACTTTTTGCCCTATTTACTATGAGACAACAAGCGATACTTTTGTTGTTAATGCTTCAAAAGAGGACATTTCTTTAATGACCTATTGGGGAGATATTGACATTATTTCTGTTTATTTTTCAACTTACCAAGAAGTGAAGTTATGTTGTCTGTAGAAGCCGTCGCCGGGCAGTCCGAATGAGATGAACATATCCTGCACTAACAGGTTGTCTTTATCGAACTGCTCGTAGAAAACGCGCAATGTACTCGTCTTCGGTATTGTTGTCCTGAAATTAATGAGGTATTTTAAATTGTTGTATTGCCTGCACGGTTGGCGCCGTGGCTGGGCAACTGGCAGCCGCGTTTGTTTTGCCTAGCGTGTTGAAATAACGATAAATCAATCTCCTTATGTTTCTTACACCAATATTATAAGTGCTTTAAGTTACCATCCAGCCCTCACTAAGATGTTTGCATCTCGCCCTTGTTCTGTTCTGCTTACTTCTTCAGGCAACACACATCTCCTAAATATAATATAATTCCACTTCTGCTATTTGATAAAATAAACTTCAGCCCAAACCTATACCCGGATTGACAAAAGTAGAAAGAAAAAACACTCCTTTTTTTGGTGTAATAAGAGAGGTGTGTGTTTAATCGAATAACAAAGGATCAGATTGACAATTAAAATATCTTCTTACCAAGTAAAGTTAGATATATAAGCGTTGGTTGAGGACGACACGCTGCGTTCCTGCTCCGTGTAGCTGACTGGCCGGAACTGTATGAAGCCGCCGTCATCCGACCGACTAGACTTGGGAGTCCTAATCTCAAATATCTGAGGAACAAAATGTTATTGTATTAAAGATCAATACGATGTAACATATATAGGTAAATCGGCTCGACCGGAGTAATACCACGGCCTCCCGGACTCCCAGAAAACCGGTGTGATCCCCAATGCCTCCTTAATCCCCAAATCTCCAAATCCCTAACCCCCAAAAGGTCGGCAACGCACTCGTGATTCCTCTGGGCGTCCATGGCCGACGCTGATTGCTTACCATAAGGTAATCCTTTAGCTCGTTTGCCGAGCTATCACGTAAAAAAAAATTGTTCCAATATCCGGAGAAAGGAGATTGAGAACAACTGGTGTCCCTTGCAAGTGCTGATGGTGGCTATTGTGGAGGTTTAAGTGAGGTAAGAACCAACAGTTGTAAGGTTTTCATTGCAAAAAACGCGGGATACATATAAAATAATCTAGTGATCTTATTTGCTTTACGCGCAGTTTCATCCGCTGACTCGCCATGGCTTCCTCGACAAGTGGACAATGCACATAACCTAAAGATTTGTTTAATTCGAACCAGTAGTGGGATTAGCGCGTCCAAACAAACCAACTTATCAACCATATAAAATTAAAATATTTAGTGATAGTAGCATAATCGATCTCTGTGTCAAATTTAGTTCCGCGCAGAAAATTTTGAGTTTAAATCTTTAAAACTACGCAGAGGATTTTGAAGCAGTAATAAATAGAGTGCTTCAAGAGGGACAGAATGTATGTCATAAATGTAAAAGTTTGTAAGTATTGATGGCTATGGTTACACTTTCACCTAAAAACTAATAGACTACTTTTTATCCTAGTTATGTGGGCCAAACTTCTAGAAGAAACTACGGTAGTTAATAACAATCATCATCATCAGCCTACAAGTGCCCACTGCTGAGCAAAGGCCTCTTCTCATACGGAGAAGGTTAGAGCAGCAATCACCACGCTTGCTCAATGTGGGTTGGCGATTTCAAACTTTTAATTAGAAATTATCAAGTCCAGGTTTCCTCCCGATGTTTACCTTCATCGTATGTCAGTGGTGTCTAAATAATCATAAAAAGTACATACATATAACTCGGAAAAAGTCACATTGGTACTTGCCAGGTTCCGGATCTGCACCCACATATAATACTACACTAAACTATACTACACTGTATAATAATAGTACGTACATATTGAACAATTCACTCACCTCAAAAACGCCAGGTGTATGCTCATCATCCAGGCTCTTCCTCATGCTGTAACTCATATTCTCGTTCCGAGGGTCGGTGCTGACGACCGTGAAGTGCAATGCGAACCGCGATGCGTTGTAGTCGGCTGATGACGTCAGGTTTACTAGGCTCACGTCTACCAGTGTCGAGTTTGCAGTATGGATCAGATGTGGTAAGTCTACTGCATAGTCTTTGAATGGAAGGAGGTCGAGCTGTTGGGGAGAGAAAGGCATTTTTACTAACACAATAAGATATGACGGACTCTCGTCCTTTTTACCACTATGGGCTCCTAGTGTGGTTTGAAAGTAATCGTGTCAACTCGTCAAGTACTTAGTAACTTTATCTAAGTGTGGGAGAGCCAAGATTCGGCAACGAATGGGTCGGCTCGACCGGAGTGATATCACGGCCTCACAAAAAACCGGCGTGAAACAACCACAGTGGTGTGTTTCGCCGTGTGAGTGAGGTACCAGAGGCCCAATCCCTGCCCCTCCCCCATCCCTTCCCAGTCCTGAAATATCCGAAACCTTTATCCCTAAAAGGTCGGCAACGCACTCGTTACTCCTTCCGGTGATGCGGGTGTCCATGGGCGGCGCTGATTGCTTATCACCAGGTAATCTGTCTGCGGGTTTGCCGACCAATACTATAAAAAATCTAAGGAGCGATTAATTAAAATTATAGAACTAAAATATTACGTTACTATTCCTACAACATTGTCGTCACATAACAAGAACAAGACATATTACTTTGTCTTAACAAAAGACAACTTACTTTCATATCAATGACGCCATGTTGGTTATGTTCCCCGAATTTCCCGCGCATATGTAACATGGCCTCCTTGTTGTCCAGCACAGTGCTGCCACGTGTCCACTCCAAGTCGCGTAGTGACAGCGCCCTCTGAGGGCACCTGTTGTCAATGTATCCATTGTTTTCGATGTCATTGTATTCTGTTAGCTGTAACAAGGTATAATATACATAATCACAAATTATTTTTTATTTACATAGTAGGTCTATGTTCCTAATAGTAATACTAGACAGTATTACTATTAGGTACTCATATTACTATTCAGATGTTTTGTAAAACCCCACAATTGGATAGTTGCTTAAGTCATAAATAAACTATTGTGACTTATCAATAAAATATAAAAATACAGCTAGTATTTTATTAGGTAGCCCAATCGAACTCCACATCGTCTCAAAATTATAAAAACTAGAATAAATAAAAACAGAAAAGTATATTTTTATCCATTCACATCATTTGACTGGTGGACAACAACCTCATTTTCAACACTGTCGTGGATTGAACCCACAAATCCAAACAATGTAGTCGCGATTGTGACTTTTAAAAAAATGAGACAGGCTTTTTTACGTTCAATGAATTTTTCAGTATTTCTATTTTAAAAGCGAAATGTACACAACATAGGTAGTTTATACATACTTGCTATTGTAGATTATACCATCGTAGGAACTCAAGAGTTATTTAATGTAAGAGGTAATTCGGAATAGGTCAAGTAATCGTAAGGCAGAAATACTACACGACTTACTTATGTATGATTAGTAATGATGATTCAATACAAAATTATAGTTACAAACATACCTACATTATAACCTGTAGGTACTATGTACTAGGTACCTATTTAGAACTTATTAACAACTGTTCAAACAGTATAATTGTTTTTGCAGATACTTTCACGAATGTTCTTCTATTGAGAGGTCATTTCCTCTAGAACCGAGTTAGTTAAATCAAACTTTTGGCAGTTGAGAAAAAAAAAGGACTTATTTCAAAACAACTTAGGTTCAACAAAATAGTTAAACAACTCAAGATTTTTGAATTGTGTAATTATGTTAACCTTTTTTAATCTTAGGATTCTTGGTGAAGCAATGAATATAATAAAGAGGTAAAATTTGTAAGTTTGTATGTAAGGGGTAATATTTGGAACCATAGGTCGGATTCCCGAAATTTTTTCACTTATTGATAGCTACAATGTTCCCGAATGCTATATGCTATAAAACATCACAAAACGATTAAATACAGCCAAGCAGCGGGTGAAACCGCGAGAGAATAGCTAGTTTTTAAATAAATCGCTTCATAAAGAATCCTGACTGTGAAAGCTGAATGAAGCCGTATAATTCTGCACGGTGCGTTGGTTTACGCGATTATTGCGCACATGACATGGAGATGCTGTTGGGTTACCTACTTAATTATCCTTTGAAGCCATATGGTGGTAGAAGGGAATAAAATTGTCTATGATCCCTTTCTTTTTTGGGAGGGGAAAATCATCTAATGACTTCTCCCACCCAGGGCAGGGCAGGAGGGTGTCAGACTCTTACTGACTAAAAACCCCCCTGTTCCTTCTCGTGCTCTGGGCCGAGGTCGCGGTGCCTCATTGCGTTTATCTGTTATTGTTATACTGACCTATCCAGCGTTTATAACCTTTTAATCGTGGTAACTCTAGACACAATACAAGAGCATGCGTACCGGCGTTTGCTTGGGGTTTGGTGAATTAAGGAATATTCAACAGTAGTCCTTGTTAACTTTATAATATTATAAATTAGGTAGTACTGACTGCAGAAACTTATTGATGTCCGACTGAGACATTTTACGTAAGATTATAAAATAAAATAAAGTTTTTTGCAAATAAAACACCTTCACGGTGTGAACATCTGGGTCACAACATTTCAGTTGAATTCGAGAACTGAAATAACCTAAAAATATTCATCAGTATCGCCCCAAATGGATATGCAATGAATGGTAGATCATATTACGGTAATTAAAACCAGGACTTCGAGTTAAGGTCACCGTGAAATCATATTTTCAATTAGGGAGACGATTATAAGAACCTTAAGAATCTTTTCGATGGATTTATAGAATTATTTCGAAGGAAAAACGTCCCACGATAGAGATTACTATGGAGAAGAATCGGGAATACATTTCGTGGTTATCTACACTTTATCAATCAGTTTTACATTCTTATGCTTAATTTTTTAATGTGTGAAAGGTCGGCAAACGAACCAACGGATTGCCTGATGGTAAGCAATCAGCGTCGCCTATGGACACCCGCAACGACGAAGGAGTTACGAGTGCGTTGCCGATCTTTTGGGGATTAGGGATTTCAAGATTTTGGGACGGACGGACTGGGGTAAGGGAAGGATTTGGCCTCCGGTAACCTAACTCACACGGCGAAACACAACTCTTTGGTTATTTTACACCAGTTTTCTGAAGGCCGTGGTATCACTCCGGTCGAGCCGGCCCATTCGTGCCGAAGCATGGCTCTCCCAAACTTGAAACCACAGACAAAGGTTACTTTAAAACATCAAAATATTAATTTACATTTGCAATTTCAATGCACCGTCCTCAAAATTACATTCGAACGAATTAAACCTTTAAGTTATGTGCAATAAAGTTGCGTTTGCTATATTTAATAGCGCTGTCTGCTATCTATTGTCCTTAGTGTTTGGTTCGGAATGGGGACGCAACCTATGACTCATGACTATCGGTTCTGTTAGACCAAATGCACATATTTGGTCGATAGTAACCGCTGTTGATAAAACAGCAAAATTGTAATGAGTAGTTTGCAATATTATTTACAGATTCTGTTGATTGGCAAACCCTTATAACGATTTCGTGGGGCTTAGAATATACCTACCTACCCAATTAAGTATAGCATAATAATAATAATATTTCTACTGTATGTTATTGATAACTCTTCAGTCAAATCTTCGTCATCTTCGTCAACTTCGCGTCTCCGATTAGAATATGAGTTTGTAATATACTTACTACTTTTGAAAAAATGTCGTATAAAACTTTAGTTAGAACCTAGTAAAATTGCTCCCTTCCACAAAGATTAAGCACTGACAAAGAAAACAAATGAGTAATAGTAATTAAACAAACAGAACAGCTTCGTGACCTGGTTAATTGTCTTCGAAAGTGAAATTTGAGACTAAAATAACAATGAACTATTCGATATGTTGGCACCTACATACCCACATATAGGTAGGTGTGTTTACAGTTCAATAGTATTTTTACACGACTGGCCAAAAAAGGAGGTGTTATGTTTTTAGGGTTCATTTTATGTTTGTTGTGTATTCGTATTAGTTTATAAAGTACCTCCCCCAAGGTATTGTTAGGATTACATGGCGAGACTATTTTAAATACCTGGCCTAGTTAAGATCCAAGATTTCGAAAACCATACTTAATATTCAACGGAAATAATGTTCCCTCATAACATTCGAATTTTGAAATTTAAGTAAATTCAATAACAATAGACAAAAAAATCCCTCTGCAGACAATTTGAGAAGGATGTAATAAAAGCAGCATTGATTACGTAACAATGCAATGGTCGTATGCGCGTGCGCCGAGTTTAAACGCAGATGCATGTTATTGTAGGATGATGCGGGTATCCAAACGTCTGACGTCATACTATACATTATACAATATGATATGCTAAAGCACAACAAGCTCACCCAATTCCTTCAAAACATTTTCGACTTTGACTTTTTAATATAAAGTCGGAATTGTATTAAACAAATGTGATGATTTGGAGTAACTTGTTGTGCTGCCATGTATATTCTAAATAAGCATTTCTGAGGATAATGTTACATAGTATATACAATGTACATAGGGTTTATTTCTACCAATACATTATTACAATAATTAAATATGGTAGTGACTAATGCGGTATTGTATAACGCGGGATTTCTACGGAAGCGTCAATCAGTGATCATTCCAGGAAATTTTAAGCTCATGATTTTATCGGACATGCTGATACAAAGTTCATTAACAGGAAAACATTACATTAATTCAAAGGGCAAACTTTCGGATCCTATTCCTTATTTCCTTATACGTAAAAAGGTGCATCCATAATTTTTAGAGCTAGAATTACTAGCATGCTAAAATATGCAGTCAAACTATTGTTTTTTATTTATAATTCGCATAGCAATCTTTGGAGTAGATTTTGAAAAAACATAGGGCATCTAATAATACACACATTTCGCCAAATATGTTAATCGTCTTTGTCCTTTTACAACAGATGTTTTATAATGTAATCGTAATTTAGAATTTACGTTACTGTAATATAACAATCTATTTATATCTAGTTTAAGGAAAAAGAACATACAATTCACTATTACAAACCCCGAATTATAATTGAACTTGCTTCCACCAGTGGCATCGCCCGAGTGATATGTTGATAAAAAGTAGCCTATGTCCTATTCAGGAATGTATTTTATGCCTGGGCCAAATCAGCCTTGATTGATTTCAGTCTACATATTATTTAAATTTAAAGCAATATGCTGGGTAGTTAGAGATTTATTTCACCTACATCCATTTTTGGCCATACATGTTACAAGTTCTGTTGTCAACTAATCTGGATCATTACTAAAGCTAGAAAATAGTAAATTATAATTACCTTATCAAGTGTAACAGCAAAGCTATACAGCGGTTTCTCTGACAGTTTAAATTCCAGTGGCTCATTGAATCTCCAGTTTATAGTCAATGACGTGTTGAGTTTTGAAATAACATAGATAATGGTGGGCATTCCTCGGGTAAAGTCCCACAGCTGATGAACAGTGTCCTGACTGCCATCTGCCCTGATATAAAGGAGGGTTGTTGATGTACCACAGTTGTCACAACCAGGATTCAATTTTGGTATAATCTGTGGAGAAATCAAAGAGTTTTTATATGTAGTAGATCACATTTGCGTCATACTATAATATCTAACCCTATTTAACATGTTAACCGCCATGGGGGTCACCGGTGACCTACATTAGCGGAGGATTTGCCTTCAACAGTTTACTGTCGGCAGTCAAAGGCTTAATTCTTAGATAATGTTATTTCTATTTAGATACTTATCCCATGTAAGGTCATTAGTGTAAATTATAGCTCATTAGTACAAAACCAAATAATTGTCTGTAGGTACTCATAATGGCAATGGTATTTTTTTCTATAACATTCTTCACATTTTCCTTACTTATAAGTAAGGAAAGAAAAGTTAAAATTTTCCTTAACAAGATCATATTTCTAGTTGTTATGTCCATTCTAATAAAATAAAGTAGGTAGGTTACTCAAATAATAAAGAGATAATATCATATTCAATAACATAAACATTAGATTATTTCATTTAGTGGGAGGATGTGTAGCATGATACCTTTGCCCTGAGTTAGGCTGAATCTGTATCAAAACGGATGACATATAGGTACACAACATTTGTTATGATTAGGAAAAATAATTATTTCTAGCCAATTTATTTTAATTTAATAATGTTAAGGAAATTCAACATACAAGTGATAAAAACAATAACCTAACAACAATGACCTTCGATTTCGAAACAAAGAGATAAGACAAAATAAAAAGGGGGTGTTTAGAAATACTATACGACCTTAATATCTTTTTAACATTAAGTTTTTACTTCTTGCAAAGATAATTGTATGGCAACTTACCCGCCTGTCTTGTCCACACGCAAAAGATAATATAAAAACAATTAGCAAAGTCTGTAAATGCATTCTTATCGTTGCAGGAAACGTAATTTTTCACACAAAACAATCAATAATATTGTTGTTAATATATCAGAGTCTTGGTGTCACTGAACAATAAACAAATGATAATGACATCGGCACGTGTACTCGCTACGACGTCGACAATTATTCCAAAAGCGATAAGTAATATCAATTAAATAATTTATAGCTTTCTCTTCGTATGTTTCATGCGATCACCTCGATCACATTTGCGTCATACTATAATCCTACCAATGTCAGTGTTATGTTTTGGATACGAAGTGTCACAAACTCGCACACAATTTTGAATGTAAATGAACGCTTTGCCTTCATATCGGATCTTTTCAATTTGATCGCATAACATTTGACTGATTTGACAACTTAGATACTCGTTTAGAAACGTCCGCTGTCATTCATTTCAATTGACATTCATACTCAAAATGTTTTGTTTTTCTATGGTCTGAGTCTGAGGTTTTAGGATATTTTGTTTTATATTTGATAAGTTAGCGTACGAGCAGGATTACCTGATACCCCGATGCCTCCCACAACGCTAGAGGAGTTAAGGGCGACCCGCCTTTAAGGAATTAGCGTTTCGGAAATTTACGGATTGGGAGGGGAATGGGGGATTGGGTCTTCGGTAATCTCACTCACACGGTGAAACACGACGCTGTGGTTCTTTTACGACGGCGTTCTACGGAGGAAGTGGTAGTGTATCACTCCGGTCGAGCTGACCCGTTTCGTGCTGAAGCTTGGCTCTCCCACTCTTGTGACAGTGATATAATTAGAAAAATAATTTATTCTTTATATTTTTCATAATATTACTTTACCTACAGATTAAAAAACAGTAACAAGGGTTATAACGGCAGTGAAATAAAAGTCAAAGTTGATAACAAACTTTTAAATACATATAATTTCTTTACAAAGCAGTTTCACTACTGGTATCAACATTTTTGATTTCTTCCTCATCACTTGGTGAATGTGGTCGCTTTAGATTTTTCTTATCCTTGTCCTTACTGTATTTATTTTGATTTCTGATTGCTTTGGACATCTTCTCTTCTCCCACACTGCAAAAAAATAAATTAAAATTACCAAAGAAAAAAAGGGGTGAGAAATGACTTGAAACCAAAAGAAGATTATTGCAAGATATTGCTGAATTTTATTTTATCTATTTTTAGGCTTTGGCGAAATGTGTTACGCCAAATGTAGGGCTCATTCACGTAGATAAATTCAGGTCACAGCAATTACACCAGCGAGATGCCGTCCATGAATCAGTCCCCTGACTTTGAACAAAACTTATAGAATATTCTATTCTCCTTTTCACGTGAGTATATAAGCCGTAAGTATATAATTTATACATACTTGACAGCAGCTCTGGAGCCAGGTCCCCAGTGCGGAGTAGGGTTGTATTGGAACCTCAGTCTCCCATCACGTCGGCTGATGGGATTGGCGTCGGCTCGCTCGTTCAGGTCAACTTGCGTCTTGATTTCTTGAGCAAGAATATACCGAGCCACTGGATCCGCTTCCAATCTGATTATGTTAAAAAAATGGGCATAAGGCAAATGTAAATCTGAAATGAGTTGCATGTATGGGAGAGCCAATCTTGATACCACCAGTACCAACCACGTCCTCACAGAAAACGGGCATGAAAGCTGTTGTTTCGCCGTGTGAGTGAGGTTACCAAATGTCCAATCCTTTCTCTCCCCCAATCCCCAAAAGGCCGGCAAAGCACTCAAAATTCCTTTGGTGTTTCGGGTGTCCATTAGGTAACAATTCTTATGCCAACTAATCTCATAAAAAAACAAGTTCACGCACATAAGGTAACATACTTAGCAGGTTTGACAGGATGCGTCTTGGCCCAAGTGCGAATAATGTCCCATACAACATGCGCCGGCGCACGCGTCTTTATGGACATCCGGGATGCGTGGGAGTATGACACCTTGTACCCTGCGTTTAGTAATGCTGATCTGAAAAACATTAAAACAAGAAATAATTAATTTATTTATGTAAATAGGCCATGAAAACAATTTAACACATCAACATATACCAAATATATACCAACCTCATAACCAACATAGGCATGGTTTCCAAATGGACCCTTCCGCACAGTCTATCCATAGAATGGTAGAGGGGTATGTCCAGCAGCTCTTCCCTAACCATGGCCAATACACCAGCTATGCGCTTCGCAGTACCAAAAAGTTCAGGGTTATTTTCCACATGGTTCAACACTCGGGTTACGAAGGCTTCGTCGTGGATTGGGGCAGACCAGAGAGGGCCTCCAAGCTGATGAAAAAAATACTGACTTCAGCATCAAGTAATAATTTTGGTTTGTGCTTGTTAAGGTCTGAGTTGGAAGCCTAGAAATGAAGCTGCCTGGCAATTTTCATTATTGCGACTATTTTTAAATTTATTGAAAACTAGCTACTAACGCGCTGTTTCACTCGCTGCTCCATTTGATTGTAGCGTGATGTTTTATAGCCTATAGCACTCGGGAATATTGTAGCTATCAATAAGTGAAATAATTTTGGGAATCCGACAAGTGGTTCCAAAGATTACCACCCCCTACATTTAACCCCTATTTATAATACATTTTACCCCTATTTATAATATTAGTATAGATAACGATTCGTGAGAATTAACTGAGAAAACTAGTTTCATTTCAAGCCACAACGGGGCTCTTATTCATGAGCAGCGTGCGCGTCGCGGCGACGTCACGGACAGCCAAGTAAGTTATTATTTTCAATAAGTATGTTTTACGATAGTTATATTTGTAAATCAAAATACCAATTATTGTATACCAGTGTCCGCCCGCGGCTTCACACGCATGTAAAAGAAATGTATTACAGGTTTTTAAAAAGAGCAGAGTTAAAAGCGATAGCTCGACTTAAATACGCAAATCAATCATTAATTTGTACATTGTGCACAATAAGGGAACATTGTAGCTATCTATCAGTGCAAGAATTTTAGAAATGCAACCAGAGCGGTTAAAAACTTACACATTTTACCCCTTTAAAATTAGTATAGATTAAATTATCCTCCATAACATTGTAAAGTTTTATACTCTACGAACAATAATATAATTAATTCTAGCTATACTCACATGATGTCTTTGATTACAATTAGTACAGAACTCGCCGACAGGTGGCGCTGCGGGCAAGTAGGCCTTAGTCTGTGTTGGGTTCTTCTCCGTGGGATTGGGTTTGAAACCACCCAATGGTTGCAGAGTAATATTATCGCAACCAGTACAATGGTACGCCATTGACAGCTTACTGGAATGTAAAGAAGAAAAGAAAAGAAGTTTAGCATTTTCATATAGGATGGAGAGGGCTATGCTTTCTTTGCGCGACAAAATCCGAAAATTGGAAAAAACTAAGGTGACCAGAGGGCATCGTCAGTCGCGGGAAGCCGGAGAGGAGAGGATGGATGCGTGTGGCGACTTGTCTTTCAACGTTAGGACTAGGAAGGCGGCCTTTGTTCAGCAGTGGACGTCTTCTGGCTGATGGTAAAAATTTATGTAGGTCATAGATTTATAGCTAAATGACTTTCAAATCGAGAGAAATAAGTTCTATGTTGAGGTCAATACAATTTATTGTTTTTAAATCTAAGAGTGAACTACAAGCTCTCCTAAATGTTCATCCTCATCTTGAAACTTGGCAATTAAATTGTAGATTTAATGATTATAAAATATCGCGCTATTTGGTGATATGAGTGTGTGTGTGTGAGAATTTTGAAGTAATCATTGCCATTTTACAACTTACCTTGTAGTTTTCTTACAATGTATAGCACCAGTGTAGACCTTGACAAACACTCTGATGTAGAAGTCAGCAGATATGCTGAGCAGCGGCACTATGTACCGACTGTAGCGGTTTGCATGTGATTCTATGCACTGCAGCATTATCCTCAGAGCCTGAAAAGTCATTAATAACCCTATTACAAATGCTAGTCTGTAGATATTCATTTGAGCTTCAATTTTTTTTTGGTTAGGACGGTATACGAGCTTACGGAATACCTGATGGAAAGCAATGAGGAGTTGAGGGCTCAGGGACATTCGCAACAACAGAGTTACGAGTCCGTTGCCGACGTTCTAGGCATTAGCGATTGAGCCTCCAGTAACCTCACTCACACGGCGAAAAACAACACTATGGTTGTTTCTTACAGGTTGACTGTGAAGCCGTGGTATCACGCCTTTCGAGCCGACGCATTTGTGTGGAACCATGGCTTTCCCACTTTCTATTTATTTTTTGAATAAACTAACAGCAAAATTAAAAACAGCTTAGACTCCAGACTTAACATCATTACAAAAATTGTATAATTTTGTTACAGCAAACAATTCTAATGATATTCTTGATCTTCAAACGGCTATATCTGTTAAACTTACCACTTCATGACAGCACTTTGTTTTTAAACTAATAGCACCATATTTGGAGTAACAAGTTTCAGGAGCATTCCCAGCCAACACTGCCATGTCCGTAGCAGTTATTAACAAGAGTCCACCATCCTGAACACTTTGGACTGCAGAGTCCAAGAACACTGACGGACAACCATAGGGGTCTAAGTCTATTGCTGCAAAACGTTTCATAGGATGCTTATGTTTGTACATCACCATACTGAAATCATAAAAATAAATAAATTTTATTGAGAAAATCTATATTGTATATAAAAATGGATCGCAAAATGTGTTGGTAAGCACATAACTCAACAACAACTGGACCAATTTTTTTAATAATTAAGTTAATTATTTTTTGTTGTATTTATTATGGTCAGAAGAAGGTTCTTATCAAAGAAAATATTAGTAAAGTAGAGGGGCAAATTGGGAAAAACTGACCCTTTTTTTTTAGGATTGTAAGACCTATGCGAAGCTATGCTAGTATTAATATAGAATATGCACTTTGCTTAAAGCTTTAACAAGTACAGAATATTAGGTAGTATATGAAGTGAATATGTTACTTATCTTTTAACTTATTGATTTAAAAACTTACAATTAAAGATTAGACTTCATTCTTTTTTTGATTTTAATTTTTTTTCCTAACAACTGTAACAAACACTAAGCCTCACAATAATGAGATTGATGAATTTTGATGAGGCTTTCATTTAGTCTTTACACTCTCTCTACCCATGTATTTAATAAAGAAAACCTTTAATTATGAATTTTTCCTTCAAGAGAGAGGACACCCTATAAATTATTAAAATATGGAATAATTCTTACCATGCATCATCATGGCTGGTCTCAATAAGATTTTCAACCTGATTATGAACAATATTGGCCTGTATTGTCTCCACAGCCTGCTTGGAGAGGTCATTGGCAACTATTTTAGTCACATTTGGCACTTCTTTAGCATACCGAATACTCCTTAAGCCTGTTGCCGATAATGCTTCTAATATTGAAATGTCCACCTATTAAATTATAATGGTAATGTTAAACATGATTCCAACAAGTGGCTAATTATTTTTATAAGTAAATATTTTGAGTACACAAACCTCATTATTAGTTTGAGTTTCTGCTATTCCTTCAGTTGTGTTCTGTGTCTTATTTTTACCCCTTTTCTCAGCTTTAGCAAGTTGCTCAGCTTTGTATTCATTTGTAAATATTGTCAAAACTGCTATACTTAAATCTCTGTTAAATTCTTGTACAGGATTATAAAATACCTTCTCAGTTGTAAGGCATATCTCCGCCTTACCTTCCTTTATGGATTTCGTAGCCGTCGAAGCATCCATTTTCATAATTCTCTAGTTTTAATCAGAGAATAAGGTTATGTTTACAAATTTTTGGCAAGGAAAACTAATGAATGAATGAATGAATTTTCAAATATTATTAATATTGTTTGCAAAAAAAGAATACAAACCTGTATAAGAGTCGTTGCTACTCTACAATATCTTGCTACATTCATAAAAGCGAGTCTAAATAAATTGAGTTCAACAGCTCAATTTTTGCAAAATAGCAGCAATTGCAACATCACAGCATGTTGCTCCTGGGGATACTGTCAAGCTGTCAACTGTCAACTTATCAACTGTCATAGTTACAGATTGTCAAAACAGCTCCATTTCAAATGCAAACTTGAATGAGAAGAATTTTAAATAACGAATTACTAAAAATACACTTAATAGCCATTAGGTTGATATTTTTTCCATTAAATTAAGAGGGAAAAACGTTCCGAGCGTCACAACCACAGAGAGCTCTACGCAGCCTGCTCTATGGAATAAAAAACATAGACATTTGTTTAATAATGTCAATGTCAAAAATGCTAGCAGATTTCTGACAGTTCAATCTTAATCTCGATTCTTGAAGAATCTGGAAAAATAACCTACTCCTTTGCCGAATTAAATAAAATTTAAATGGAATACGGTATATTAAACGATTAGATCTATAATAGGAATATAAAAATGCATACTGCCAGTAGTTTGTTGCGGAACAGTTTTCTAAACCCGAAGTTGAAGTCGTCTGTGGTTCGTAGTGTTACAAAAGTTGCATCACACAGTAAACCGGTGCAAAGGTTGTGTTATTCTGGGGTGGCTGGTGCTAGGGGTGCGCGGATATGTAGTTATAACAGTACTTATTTGAGCCCAAGTAAACAAGTGGGATTTGGGAGGTACTTTTCGACCAATAAGAATGACCCCCCCGAGGAGGATCCTGAGCCAAAAGATGAGACGCCGTTGTTCAGCAGTCAGCTCCCAGCGACGGTGGCCGTGCCTGAAGTGTGGCCACAAGTGCCCGTCATCGCCATCAACAGGAATCCTGTCTTCCCGCGTTTTATTAAACTTATTGAGGTTAGTTATGATTTGCCTTAGATTCCTGTAAAAATGTTGGTTCAAGTAATTGTTTTTACGGTATTTATGTGTAGTAGAAATATGTAACGCTAAAATATTAATTGAAAAATTCTTAGTTCATGATAATTTGCTTATCCATTCATAAAGTTTTCGTTCTAATAAGAAATCAGAATCAAATGACCATGAATTTTTATTATGGTGTGAATTCAGCAAATTTATGTAGATAAGATAAATGTTCATTGTTATGAGTCTATAGATATAAATCTTTCCAATTCTTATGATGTGAAACAATATGAAAAAATATTTATCAAGTGCTGTCACCTTGAATATATATTATTAATTTTGTACAGTGAAAAAATATTTTCAATAAATTCATTTTTGATTTACATTTACAGATATCAAACCCAGCTTTAATAGACTTAATAAGACGTAAAGTTAAACTGAACCAGCCTTATGTTGGTATATTTTTGCGTAAAAAAGAAGATGAGAAGTCGGATGTTGTGTCTAACTTGGATGACTTGCATCAAGTGGGTGTGTTCGCCCAGATCCATGAGATGCAAGATATGGACTATAAACTAAGACTAGTAGTGATGGCTCACAGACGTATTAAGATTACGGGACAGTTTATCGAAGATGAGATCGAAAGTGGGCCTGCTGGTGAGTGAAACGTCTATTTCAAGGGTTCTAAGCATGGGTATTTGGCTTCTAAATTCTTTATTCCATCATTTTGTGTCAAAATTTTCACCAAATATCATCTCATTATTCACTCAGCTTCGTTTCTGAAATGTTGAAACCATTTCAGAAATGAAGCTGAAGTTTCCGCTATTTAACGTGGAGCTTAACGTTGCCCGCGAAGAGTCTGATGCGGAGCGGCGTCGGCGCAAGTATCGCAATACGAGGAAACAAGTCTCCAAGGAGCCTGTAGCTGAAGACACTGCAAAAGAACCGAAAGAAACGAAGAAGCCTGCTCCGGATCAAGTTATGATGGTCAAAGTAGAGAATTTGATGCATGAGAAGTTCCAGCAGACTGAGGAGGTGAAAGCATTGACACAGGAAGTCATAAAGACCATTAGGGATATCATCAATTTGAATCCTTTGTACAGGTGAGTTTTATGCATGTATTTTGAAATTTTTAAAAGATCTTGTATTAAAGTCCTTTTATCTAATACCTTTTCGAGGTTGGAGCTTTCGAAAAATTGTAAAAACCACAAGTATATGTGACCTATTCACATCCGATCAGAACTATTAAAATAAAACAAAATTTTACAGTAGAAAATTTCTTTCTACTTGCAGGGAATCCTTACACCACATGTTAGCACAAGGTCAGCGTGTGGTGGACAACCCAGTGTACCTGTCAGACCTGGGCGCTGCCCTCACTGGTGCTGAGCCTGCAGAGCTACAGGCTGTTTTAGAAGAAATGGATGTAAGTACTAAATACGTAATAATTTTCCTCAACAGACTGGAAACGCTCTAGTCCCCCCTCTGGCGTTGAGCGTATCTATCGACGGTTACAATATTAATAACCAGGTGATTGGTTGGCTCATTTAAAATATAAAAATATAATATTTTCATACACAAATCCCACATCATCATCACTCAGAGTTGTTTCGAGTGGCAAATAATCTCATTTCTAACTAATGGAGAATTCTTAAAAAAAGTGTGAGGTCATTGTTGACTTAAATGAAATTTACATAAAAATGGTATTTTTATTATATGATATTTGCATAATAATCTTATTTATTGTATGTCATGCAATATATACATATAGATAATTTTGACGAATCATTCTTAAACATTTTACGTAACAATACATATAAACACGGTAATGCGTTACCATTATTTGTTTTTGTTTTGTAATAGAACCCCAACCTACTTTGCCATTGCAGTAAAAATATTTTTTTTAACCTTAAAGGCAAGATGTCTTGCTTGGAGTGGGCTAGGTATTATTGAGTACTTGTTACTGTCCAGCGGTTTCACCCGCTGCTCCTTCATATCGTAGCGTGATGTTTTATAGCCTATTGCCTTCCTCGATAAATGGACTAACAAACACAAAAATAATTGTTAGATTCTGGAACCAGTAGTTCCGGAGATAAGCGCGTTCAAACAAACTAACAAACTCTACAGCTTTATAATATTAGTAGGTACTTATAGATTTTCGTCATTTCTTAATAAAGAACCAGTCTGGGATTGTGTATCTCATTTTAAGTGAACTCTTTTTTATATTTCTTTTATGCGAATAAAACTGTTTATACCTATAATATACATAAATAACTTCTTCTACAGATACCAAAGAGGTTGATGATGTCCCTCTCGCTGCTCAAAAAGGAGTTTGAACTATCGAAGTTGCAGCAAAAGATCGGCAAAGAGGTCGAGGAGAAAGTTAAACAACAGCATCGAAAGTATATCTTACATGAACAGCTTAAGGTTGGTATTGCTTGTTCTAATTAACTTTTTCTTTTCAGATTTTTGTTTGATCTTTTAGTACTTAACGATTTTTAAACATGTTTGTTTTCTTTATATTTAAATTAGAATAAGATTAATTGGTTTTGTTATAGACAACATTTTCTGAAGTTCCATTTTCAAAATACCAAAATAATAATCACTCGTTATTTACCCAACAGGTAATAAAAAAAGAGCTAGGCCTAGAAAAAGATGACAAAGATGCCATAGGAGACAAGTTCAAGGAGCGGTTGGCTGACAAGAAAGTACCGCAGGCAGTACAGACAGTCATTGATGAAGAGCTTAACAAACTCAACTTCTTGGAAAGCCATAGTTCCGAGTTCAAGTAAGTTGAAATTAACATGGTCTTATTATTAATAATCTTACATATGTAATCCCACAAGTGATGTAAAAGGCTAGTAATAGCTGTAATCATAAAACAAATGCAACACAAATATAATTGATTGAAAAAAATAAGGAGTTTGCCTATACTTTGGAACAAGAAAATAGCTTCACTAGAGGACTGACCCACAGACAAACACTTATAAGTTTTTATATTTCATTATTTTTTAATATGAAGTTTAATTGTCTATTTGAAATATATTTGTTGACTTTGACATTATCACTAAAACTCTAGTAAGTTAAAAAATAACATAAATATGTCACCTATCATAAATAAAATACTACTTAAAATATACTTTGATCAACACAAATTGTACTGAACTCGACAAAAGTCCTATTAGGTCTTTTGTTTTTAGAAATCGAGTTGTACTCACTACAAGTTAATCTGACTAGTTTCAAGCCACGGTCGGAGCTCATAGGCATAAGCATTTCGTGACATGTCAAGCTTTGTGCAGTGAACTCATCATAACTTTATATTCCAGTGTAACCCGCTGTTACTTGGACTGGCTGACCTCCCTACCCTGGGGAATGACCTCGGAAGAGAATCTCAAACTAAAAGATGCTCAAGTGATACTCGACGAAGACCATTACGGCATGGAAGATATAAAGAAACGGATATTGGAGTTCATAGCCGTGTCGCAATTGAAGGGGTCTACCCAGGGCAAGATATTGTGTTTCCACGGACCTCCCGGTGTTGGTAAAACTAGTATAGGTGAGTGCTACTGGTTTTGTTTAATGAGAAAATGTTTGTTTTGCCTGGTGATTCATTATAGTTAAGTAGTTTTGGAGATTCCGGTTCACTAATGTACTGCTGGGCAACTCATAGTAGTTGAGGGGGTTGTGATGTGGGGTTTTTTAGTCAGTAAGAGTCTAATACTTAAAAGCCTTCTTGCCCCATCCAATGACTTTTTTAAACATATAAATAACATAGGAAATCCCGGACCGGACCTGATATGTTGATATTGACTTAAATGTTGTGCTTATACATAAAATAGAAAAAGACGATTTTAACTAAAAAAAAACAATGTTTAAATACATATAAAATTCAACCTTCACATCCTAAACATAAGCTTTATTTCAGCTCGTTCGATCGCCCGGGCTCTCAACCGACAGTACTTCAGATTCTCAGTGGGAGGTATGACGGACGTAGCGGAGATCAAAGGCCACAGACGGACGTACGTGGGAGCTATGCCCGGTAAACTGGTGCAGTGCTTGAAGAAGACGGGAACTGAGAACCCATTGGTGCTTATTGATGAGGTGGACAAAATTGGCAAGTAAGTGTACATTTTAGAAACTTTAAGTGTAGTGACTAGTACAAATCTTCCGGGTGCTGGGACAATTATCCCTTTATGTAATATTTTTGTATGATTGTTAAAAAAAAGTACATAGTAATAAATGAAAAAATATTACAATAAAACTAGAATAAAATAATTATCTTTCTATTCATGTAATTATTATTTTTTTGTTAGTCGTCCTGATGTGTCGTAACATAGCTGCAAAGTCAGTGAATTGCAAAACTTCACTGTTACTGTACATACATTTATTAATTATTTATTTATTTATGCTTTATTGTTCACAATGAAATGAAGTTGGTACAAAAGGCGGACTTAATGGCATCTACCAGTCAACCTTTACCTTATAATTCTTTTCGGATACAAGAAATACAAAAAGTGTACCTATTAGCAGCCTTTTAGTGGTTAAGGATTAAAGAATTGATCATAAATTCTTACCGTTTATTTGAAAAATGTACAAAACTGATATTCAAAGCAAATTATTATGTTTTTTGTATTTCTTTTCCTTTTTTATGTTTTTTAATTTAGTTATCATCATATAATTTTTCAATTTTAGGGGTGTTCACGGCGATCCATCATCGGCCCTTCTAGAACTCCTGGATCCGGAACAAAACGCGAACTTCCTGGACCATTACCTGGATGTGCCGGTGGACTTGTCCAAGGTGCTCTTTATCTGCACCGCCAACGTGGTCGAACATATTCCAGAACCACTCAGGGATAGGATGGAACTTATTGATATGTCTGGTGAGTTAGAATTTATAGTCTTGAGTACATTACATTACAAATTAAAGTGCCTAGTTTCTTTTTAGAAATTATTTATTTTATTTTGATAATTGTTGTACCTTAAAAATTATGTTGGTTTTAATGCCCATATAGCATTTTGTACAGACAGCAAAAAATATTTTGCTACACACCTGATTGTTTTTTAAATTACCTTTGCCCCACATAATTTTCTCCTGTGTCATGGTGCATTTAAAATCATACAAGTTCACATCATCACATCCATACCAGTAACAACAATATGTGGATCACACAGTTTTGTTGATTGTCTTTAATTTATAATTCAATTCTAGCCTTTCGAATATCTAAATCTGCTAGCATAGGAAGCATAGATCGTAAGTTTTGCATAGGGTCATACTTTTTGTATACTTATGAGGAGTGACATATTCGTTATATGAACAAACCCGCCATAATACATAAAGAAAAAAAAAGTTATTCACAATTAACATTTTTTTTTTCTAAATAATTTACTTGGCAAAACATTGCCAGCGTTTGCGGGGTCAGATTTTTCCAGTATATTTTTCTTTACACCATGTCTTGATTTCTCATTCAGGTTACGTAGCGGAGGAGAAGCTGGCAATAGCCCAGCAGTACTTGGTCCCGACAGCTCGCAAGAACTGCGGCCTCAGCGACACCCAGCTCGAACTCACGGCAGAGTCACTGCACGCTCTCATACGCTCCTACTGCCGGGAGAGCGGAGTCAGGAACCTGCAGAAACATATTGAGAAGGTATTATATAGTTATGTTATCGTGTTTTAAGTTGCGGATCGACTCGACCGGAATGATACCACGGCCTCACAGAAAACAGACGTGAAACAACCACATTGTTGTCCCTCCGCCCCATCCCTAAATCTCCAAACCGTAGTCTCTAAAAGGTCGGCAACGCACTCATAAAGTCGTAACTCCATCGTTGTTGCGGGTGTTCAAAGATGGCATCGATTGCTTACTATCAGGTAATCCGCTTGCTCGTCTGCTTTCCTATCGAAAAGTTTAATAATTTTTAGTAACCTTAGTATAAACCTAATATTTTACTGTTCTACGGGATTTAACGGGCACGTTCCTCTTTTATTTCTTTTTTGCTAAACACCCAGTAACCGTGGAGGCCGTAGTATCACTCCGGTCGAGCCGGCCTATTCTTTACAAAACACGTCTACTTCACGTGGAAAATGTTTTAAAATGTCCCCAATCCTAATCTGTTTCCTCAAGGCTTCTGTACCTTTATAGACATTCATCCCCGCTTGAAGATAATAATAACAATCTCTCTACTCCAACAGATAGCCCGAAAAGTAGCATACAAGATAGTGAAAGAAGAGACACAATCTCTCAAAGTGACGGAGGAGAATCTACCAGAGCTAGTCGGCAAGCCTACCTTCAAACACGATCGCATGTACGACATTACACCGCCCGGTGTTGTTATGGGACTCGCCTGGACTGCCATGGGTGAGTCTAATTAACAATAATTAGTTGATCATTCCAATAGCCGATTTTTTGACAGTCGCGCGTCTAAAATTAATAATCGAACTGTATTCAAGATTTGTGGATCTAAATTCTTTAATTGATAACGTATTTCAGATTATTATAAATATAATCTCTAGCCTAAAGGGGATGAAAAACTAACGACAAGAAGTCTTCGCACGGGTGTAATGTTAATACTAAATGTCTTTCCTCTTTAATCACTCCATCTGTTAAACAGATCCATCAAAATCCGTCGCGAAGTTGTGTTGTTAAAGATACAAAGATATACAGGGTGACTTTGTTTTATACTATGTTATATTAACGGCACGTCGCTCATGAATAACAGACCCGTTGTAATATGAAACTAATAGAGCTCTTCTCAGTTAATTCACGTCAATATTTGCAAAAAATGTATTACAGTACGGCCCCCGTATCTTGGCGAGTCTGAAGTTAGCCGTTTGTCTGCGCAAAGGATCTTTTAGGAACAAAATTGTTTACTGCGCAGCTAATCGGCTAACTTCAGACTCGCCAAAATCCGTCGGCGGTATTTTTTGTTTAACGATAGTTCAAAACTAAGTTTTGGTCAAAAATCTTAGCTGGGTTCTGAGATTTTGGACTGAGATCAGTCATTATTGCGGACCTATAACTAAGCAAAGGCATTGTATAAATTGTCCCTTAAAATTTTTTTTTTGAACTTATTCCAAACATATGTACATATAGCACACTTGATAGCTTTTATTAAAAACATTTTAGTAAACAAATATATGCAAAGCTTACATTTCCAACTCATATCTAACCATTAACCTTACCTTACATCCAGGTGGCAGCACATTGTTCATAGAGACCGCGCTCCGCAATACTGCGACGGATGACAAGTCTCCCTTCGGCTCCATGGAGCTCACCGGACACCTCGGTGACGTGATGAAGGAATCTGCCAGGATCGCACTCACTGTCGCCAGGAATTACATGGCTACTTATTATCCGGAGAACAAGTTTTTGAATACTAGGTGAGTTTTTTGGCATTTTCTTCATAATAATCTTCGGGTGGTACGAGTAGTCGAAACAACGTTCAACTTAAGATCTTTTTTTACTTTTTCGGCTAGAGGTGACGACTAACAAAGATGTAATTCTTTTCCCAATCCGTAAGTCCTCATAATTATGTCAAAATGGGCGGTATCGTACTTAGAACTTGTAGATTGGAGTGCCTATAGACGGGATTGATTGAATCGTTGCCGTCAGTTTGTAGTACATCATCATCAGGCTATAAGTGCTTACTGCTGAGCAAAGGCCTCTTCTCATACGGAGAAGATTTGAGCATTAATCACTATGCTTGCTCAAGGCGGATTGACGATTTCAAGCTTATTATTAGAAATATATAAGAAGTCCAGGTTTCCTCATGATATTTTTCTTCACCGTATGTCAGTGCTGTCTAAATAATCATAGAAAGTACATATAACTCGGGAAAAGGCACATTGGTAATTGCCAGGTTTCGAACCCTCATGTACCTATGAGAAGCGGGCGCCTTAACCTCCGGGCCACCAAGACATTTTTAGTTGTAGTAAAGTAGTAGTTAATTTTTTAGCAACTAAGAAAAGTAGAAGATCAAGAATTTATGTTCAAATTGGTATAATTTTCCAGTCACATCCACCTGCACGTACCGGAGGGCGCGACCCCGAAGGACGGTCCCTCGGCGGGCGCCACCATCGCGACGGCGCTGACCTCGCTCGCGCTGCGTCGCGCCGTACGACCCGACCTCGCCATGACGGGGGAGATCTCACTCACTGGCAGAGTTCTACCCGTCGGAGGCATCAAAGAGAAGATTATTGCGGTATGTTGCACTTATTTGTAAAAAGGAATGGTCGGGAGATCTGTTTTTAATGTACGAAAAAATTGTAAGTTTGTATGTAAGTGGGTAATCTTTAGAACTGCTGGTCTTATATCTAAAATTCATTAACTTATAGATCAATGTCAACCTACCTGAGTGCTACAGGCTATAAATTATACTTGATTTGGTATTTTAGTCGAGCTATTGCTTTAAACGTTGTTTTTAAAACCCCAGGATACATTACTTTTATGCGGGTGCGACATCCCGGGCAGAAGCTGTGTAGTTGTTTTGCACGTATCACTCAACTAACACTCGAACCAATTACAATTTCCTTATAAAAATATATTTTATATCTTCGGAAATGCATACATTATTAAATAACTATATAGATTAGAAAATAAGTAATTGTAAGCTTACAAGGCACATAAGTATTCTAGAATCAGTTCGTGTAAGCATTAATTTATTTTGAGAACTTTTGAGCCCGTTTATAATTATTATTGAATTAGTAATTCTAATACTCCATTATTTCCTCTTAGGCTAAGCGCGCAGGTGTCAGTTGTGTCATCCTTCCCGAGGAGAACAGACGTGACTTCGACGACCTGCCGAGCTTCATACGCGAAAAGGTCGACATACACTTTGTCAACGATTTTGATGAAGTCCTCAAGATCGCCTTCGATCAACAACAACAGGTTCAATCATAGACTGTAGCCTTACTACTTAAGGTTTAGTTTAGTTTGCCAGTAGAAATCTTCTTGTAATAAGTCCAAGTAGGCTTTAATAGATATTGGATTATTATGAAATTGGTGGAAATATTTTTTAAATATGGAATTGGGCATGAGAAAATATGAATATGTATATAATATGTTTCATAGTTATTTGTAAGAGAAAATGTTTATGACATGAGAGGCAGCATTTTATATTTTACGCCTATATTTCTCAGTAACCATTTCCGTCAATCCTCAATCCTCAAATTTTATTAAATAACCGTTATTGAAATTACAAAAACAACTTTCAGTATTACGGACCAAAAACAACACAAAAAACTGAAGAAGTACTTTTAGTATAAAAATACGGTTGTAAAACATCATTAATAAAATCCAGGGTCGGATAATAATCCAGAAATAACTTTTGCATAAATCAAAAATAGTTGGATGTTTCACAGTCCGGCCGTCATTGTATAACATCACAAAATCTAATCCACATCCATTGTTTACATATCCAATTTCATTATAAGTCTATGCATTTGTTTACTATAAGTACCTATGTATGATGTATGTAGATATTGCTATGTAGATTGAGTGTATGAAACTGCTTGTTGATCAGTAGATATTATATTATATTGTTGAATGGAATTAAATATTTTCTTTTTTTTAGTTGTGTTGTTTTCGTTTGGTTCTCCTAATAGTAGTAGTGTTAGATCACTTGTTATTATAACCTTTTGTAGTTACTTTTTTCTTTATACCGGCACAATGTTGCTGCGTTCCTTTTGGTAAGTAAGAGTTCTGAATGCTCCAAACGTTGTATAATTACGCCATCATATTCGAGGAGCCTTCTGCCCAAAAATGATGCTTAATTCATACTTGTTTTCACTTTTTAAAAGTTCAGCTTTTTGATTAGATTTCTGACTCTCATATTTTGAAATTCTGCGATTTAACTAGTAGGGCCATAGGTACCTCCAGGCCAAGGCATTACACTTACACCCTTTCCCATAATCAGCAAAATATATTTTCACAGTAAGCAACCTTATTGCCTCTATTTGCTAGAATTACCATCCTTCCTTATTTTTAGGAGAAAGTGAAAAAAAAGAAGAAAAATTAAACTATAGTATGTCTTGCGTCAGATCGAAGTGGGCAACATCGCGGCCAACACTTGTATGTAGAAGGTGAAAGGCAAAAGAAGACACTGTTTTTGTTTTAAACAAGTTTATTTTCAATAAATAAATAATATATTGTTTCCAATAATAGTTTCATTGTAGAGTAGAACCCTTTTTGTGATAAAATAAAACATTTATTATATGGCTTGGATTTCTTAAGATAAAATAAACAATAACATAATTATTTGTAGCTACATTGCATCTCATTTTATATCTAGTTATAATACCGCCAACGTATCTTAGCGAGTCTGAAGTTAGGAGATTACCTGCGCAGTACATAATTTTGTTCCTAAAAGATCCATTGCGCAGACAACCGGCTAACTTCAGACTCGCCAAGATACGTCGGCCGTACTGTATAATACTTTACAAGTGGGCTGAATAGAAATGCTTCTATTTCTTCAAAGACTTTCTGCCGTCTTCTAGCAGTTGTAATAACACTGGGTACACTTCATCATATGTCGCGATTTGATTCTGTCTCACATGATTCTGATACCTCTGCAAAGCTCCAGCAACAAACTCTAGCCTATCCCTTTCATTCTTGTGAGAGTCCAGCCATTGCATCAACTTCTGTATATTCCAACCAGCACATGTATGAGGAGCCAACAGCTGGTGCCCACCATGGGAGAACAGGAACATCATTACCAAGGAGTAAGGCAAACAAGCACCTTCTGTCTGACTCTTGGCTATCTCTTGAGGAGTCTTTTCCAACATGAGATGCAAGGCCTTCAACTGTCTGTAATGATCTCCTAATTCAGTCATATCATTTAGCAGTGGAGATAATGCTGTCTCTAAATGTTTGCAGTCAATCTGCAACTTTGCTCGCCCAAACTTACTCAGCGGCCTTACATTACAAATGTGCTGAGTAAACCGTTCAATGCAAGCTCTAGCTATGTCCACACAGCACTCATTAAGAGCGGACTTTTCATTAAACATTGACAAGTAAATATCTTTGCACCTAGACACAAATTGCTGCAATTCTTTCATATAAGGGGAACATGACAATGACTTCCCAGTAGGGTCATCAGCCCTGATCAAATCAGGCTCATCATGCATAGTCATCAATATGATGTAAAGTGAATTCTTTATGGATTCTGCAAACAGTTGCAGAATTGGCATGCTGGAAATATCTTTTAAGCTATTCTGGACTATTTGTACACTTTCTTGGGGCAACATTGAGTTCATGTTCACAAGAACTCTTTTAATTTGTGATGAAAAGTAGTACAAGGAGTTGCAGAGCTCAGCATTCTTTTGCTGGGAGCTGGTTGGTGGTTCTATGATCTGGGCAACATCACTGTCCATGGATATTCTCTGCTCAGCTTCAACAGTCATCTGCTTGATGGACTTGGCAACACTATTGGCCAAGCTGATGCTCAATTGTTTGTCACCGAGTGAGATGCTCAATGCCTCAGCAATAACTCTGATGGCATTATCTATTTGGTCCATGCTTGGCACTTGAGAGAGGTGCCACATACTTCTGACAGGCTCCAGTAGCTTCCCTAAAGATTTAGATAAGAATGAATTTTCCCATTTTGTAAGACTGGCACGGTTCATCTCCAGATCCTTACATTTGAGTCTTGAGAGTAAATCATTGAAACTTTTTAGTAGTCTAGGGAAGTCAATCTCTACAGACTGGTTGACAGTGAGAGGGCTCTTCTCAAGTTCACTGCTGAAGACAAGGGATAAATCAGACCAGAAGTTCTTGGCAATATTCCTGAAATTTCCAATGGCATGTAATTCATTAACCACATTCTGAAGCATTATGACTTTAGTACAACTGTTGTAGATGTCAACTTTAAAAAGCTTCTCAATATTATCCCAAAGTTTTATTTTGAAGTCCTGAGCATTCATGATGTTAGCTTTTCCAGGAGCAATTCTTCCAGAGCTAGATTTCTTGACTTCAATTGAAACCATTTGTACATTTAGTGCATTTGTTATTTCCTTTTTCAAGTCACTCAGTATACTGCTAACAGAGTTTTTAATCTGTTCCTCTGTGCATTGTAGGTTGTGGAACACTTTGAAACATTGCAGCAGTTTAGCTTTATCACCACTGAGAAGACTTGATTGCAGTAATTCAGTAGAGTTGGTAAGTAGCTCTGTCCTCCTTAGTTGAACAGCCTTCAACACTTCGTCCAGAAGTTCTATTCCTTCAAAATCGTAGTCACTTATCAGTTCATTCAGTTCAAATATTATTATGGCTTCTTTGGATGGGTTACCTTTGATACTCTGCAGTTTATTCCATAGAGCAAGGATTTTAGACGCGTGTCTTAGTAAGTTACATGTTGTTTGAACTCGTTCAAGCATCATTGTTTGGTTTTCTAAAGCATAGTAGGGTGTGTGTACCCTGTCTTTCATTTTTTCGGCGCCTCGTAGCAAACTTTGCACTTGCGATTGTACCGATTCTAAAGTAAGTTCTAAGTCAGAAATATGGCTTGCCTGTGTAAGTAGATCATTATGTTTGGCTAGTACTTGTTTCTCCAAGCTTTTGGTAAGCTTTTCTATGCCCTGGGTGAGTTTATTCACTTGATCGGTAACTGATAGTTGCTCATTGATTACTGGTTTTATAGACTCGTCTAAGAACTTGCTGTAAAACTCATCGTTTTCTATTTCCACACACACGTCTTTTGCTTCCATAGTTTTAATGTATAGTATTTTTTTTTAAATTAATTCAATTAAACAACTCCCCGACTGTTTACAAGTTTTTGATGACATCAATAACGTGTGACATTTAACATTAATGACATTCCATCAGGGTGACCAAGCCAAAATAATATTTTTGTTTTCGTCTTCGTTCCCCGATAGATTGATTTTCTCCTGTGTCCAAGGTACCCAGACTCGGAAAAATGCTCAGTTACCGTGTCAACCGTGCAATTACTCGAAACAGGCTTCGGTAAAAGAAACCGCACCGATCACAGCTGCTGTATAAATGTTTAATAATTCTCTTTCAAAATTGTAATTTGGGTTTTGTAGAGAAATAGTAAAGAGAAATAAAAAGTAAATTGTTTTGTAGCATAACGCATTTTGTGAATAAATAAAACACTTTACCTCGTCAATTTTATTTATTTCAATTAGCACACAGTCTTGTGCTATATTGTTACAGAATTAATTAGTTATAAAATATCAACTATTTCCAACAAAATTGTGCACTAGCTTTGAAATTTATTTATATTATAATAAAAAATATTACATACTATACGCTTTCGCTTGTAAGCGTTGTTGCAAATGTCATAAAATAATCATTTGAATAACGCTTACAAGCAACTTAATATTCATATACAGCATTACATAGATATTTACTGTAAATGTTTATTGCAAAGCTTTAAAAAATATTTTCGTTAAATACAAAATTATGGCTACGAAAAGGGTGTAGGTATATATAATTCATGGCAAAAATTATTCTGGCTGATGACGATTTTCATGGCAGCTTGGATTTTTCGTTCGAACTTAAATTACACAATTCATAAAAATATACCAAGTACTTTTATTTTGGCACCCAATCTTATGATAAATAGTTCTGGACTACGCGTAACTAACACTGACCCTAGAAAAGGTTTTATGTTATACGAAATTATTTTTGTCTCTGTTGTCAGTGTTACCAACGTGCCATCGGTAATGTGCATAAAATTGATTTGCTCCACGTGTAACTCGCACAAGTCAAATAACAACCCCTCTGAAGTAGGCTACAAGTATACTGCCATCATTTCAGCTCAATATCGACCGTGTCTATTTACGTCTAGTTCATGCACTCGAAAGCCTGCCTTCAGAGCAGTATCATTTGAGCTAAAAATAACATTTCAACGAATTTAATGGTACACTGCTAATAGCTAATTAGGTTTAACAAGAATATTTTTAACATACGATACGTCAAAATCAAAATATAGCAAGTACCTGGTGTATTTTTAGACTATAACTAAATTACAACTAAAAATTGTAATATTAACTTAAAATCCTAAATAAAAACGCTGTCAAAATATTTAAAAGTATGATTGTTGATAATTGATTAAAAAAATTCGTTTGAATAATTCATTGTACATCATGCTGAGTAAAATAAAAATACGGTAAAAACATTTTACATGTTTACATATGTATAACACGCAAAATTAGGAATTTGATATAACAACGGAATTCCCTAAAAGTTCATAGAGGGCAACAAGTATATGAGCAACGTTAAACGTAACTAAGGATTTGTAAAATTTTTCCTTTGCCAAAAATAATGTTGCCAATTATTTTGACGAGCTTATACGACAAAGGTAATATTACAAATCCTATAGTAACGTTTAATTTTTATTTTACCAAAAATTACAAGCGTAAGTCATAGTAGTACAAACTTGAATATAGCTTGCAAAATTGCTTCTAGCTAAAGTAGAAAACATTCAACAATGCTCCTAATATTATGCTACAATAACGATTGTATAATGATATTATTGCTAGTACTTTGTGTATAGAGTCATTCGGGTTACGGTGGAGCGGAGGGCGCGAATTATACAGAAGAAATACATTAGACAATCAAATCAAAGTCAGTAAGAATGTTAGTATAGTAGTCTAATAGACTACCACAATTCAGTCGTAACTCTTTTTAGGAACTACATCTAGAAACTTTCTACAGGTTTGTAAATCGATATCCACATCATGTACAAAATTGTCTGCCTTTAAAAGATTCAAATATCATCTCCAATTTATTGACGATCGTCATTGAGCTAAACATAAAATGGTAATATGTGAGGAAACAAGTTGTAGGCGTCTGCCAAGTATAGGGCTACTATGGAGTGCGAAATGTATGTTCGTTAATAGTAATGATATTATTATGATGCCCACGACGCAATTTCAGTTGTTACAAAAGTTTTGATTCTTTACCTCAACAAAATAAGAAACATTTGTGCCCTTTTTGTATAAAAAAATGGCTTTAACTAATAAAAACTTGTATTTGAATATAGCACAACCATCATATTATAAAGTAATTCGAGCCCTCCTCTCACTTTCTGACAAAAATATGGAACATTCTGGAGGTTAGGAAATACATTACGTAAGTCGTAGGCAGTAAGTACAGCTGTATTTAATGTATAAAGCAGTATGATATAAATACACACTCACATTTCTTTACATGTATGTACTCTGCAAGCATACTATGTTCCAAATAGCACCTTGAGAACTCAATGCCAGAACTTGTAAGTTGAGTATTATTTAGAAACGAAGTATAAAATCCAGATACACCATTAAATAGAATAAAAGTATAGAAAGAGGTCAAAAAGCTTAGTAAAGATCACCCTCATGATTGGAAACTTATTCATACAGCTTTTATCGCTTGAAAAATTCTTCTTAATTTTCTAATTTTGGATTAATACTTAAAAATAAATAATTAGAATTTTGTCTATCCTCCGTCAGTCAAGACTGAAGTCTATGTTACCGGGGTGGTAATGATAAATCCCGCTAAGTAGATATATTCAATGAGAGATGTAAGCTAATTCATAGAATAAACTTTAGCTTCAGCTTATTATACTAACTTCATTGAGACAAGTTTAAATTGTGGTTCATTGTTTACGGTTCTACTCATGTGAATTCTAATTTGTCGAGTTTAAAATTGGATACTTGACAATCAGTACAATTACATTCATCTTTCGAATTATGGATGACAGACAGTCTTCTATGATCGGTGACGCTATGTTATTTTTTGCTTTAAATAGCATTGGTATTTCTCGAAAATTAGCATGATAAATACTAATATCAAGTACCTACATCATAAAATCAATGAATGAAGTTTTATTTTCAGTATATTTTTTGCATTGAAAAGTTATAAAAGTATCTATTGCACAGTTTTTTTCAGTAAACCATTGGGTATTTTTTTTAATGGCAACAGAGTCTCCAATTCAATGTTGTCGACTATACTGCCAGTGTCAAGTAGTGACGGCGGGAAGGTACGAAAACTCGATCGACGAGACATTACCACTTAATAGGTTTTTATTTTAACTTATAATCCCTTCCAGGTATAAAATATGTAGCTCAAATGTACATCAAAACTAGGCGAATAAATGTTATTTTTTTATAATAAATATTCACCCCACTTCTGATATATTATGTATGTGCAATCCATTAAGCTCTAGATTTTGTCTTTTCAAAGTGGTATGAGCAGAACCTTAAACAACAAACCTGTATCTTCAGGTACCCACACAAAGATACACTCACGTCCATACATACAAGCTTGAAGTATCTCATACAAAATAAGCACAAAGTACATAACTTTTGAAATATTTCACTGTACAAAAAGTTTTCTTTTCATATATATAATATGTATAATTTTTACTCAGCCCCAGAAGAACGCCAAAGATTTTAGAACTGCCTCATTACTACATTACAATATAATATATAATATTTATGGATATTTCTCACAGAGATCAGCTAATTATATTTAATATTATACAAAGGATTACATGCTATGTTTTTTTTTTAAATATAATTGGTAAAAATTAGTCGAAAAGCGCGTAAGTAGGTTTCTTAATTGCTTTGCACTGATTGTTGTAATAGATGTATGATTGACTGCATAGTTTTTTTTATTCTTTATAAGTTATATTTGTATATTACCTATGGTTTGGGTATATGGTTGATTATTGCATGGATTCAGAATAGATTGCTTGCAGAATATGTCACAAATGTTTCTCTAACACATAAATAACTGAAGTTTTTGTAATATAATTTTATATTAATGCTAATAAGTATTACCTTCATACCTTTAGCGTTTCCCCTAAACTTAGCTACACTATGGAAGGTGGAAATGGAACCTTAGAACTCAAGTTATAAGATTCAACTTCCAATTCATGAGCTGTGTAGTCGAAAAGCTAGCCTAGCAGCACAAAGTCAATATTATTGTGAACAAAAACTATTTTGTGTAATTTGTATTCTAGCCTAAGAAAGCTTAATCGATTGTTAAATCGATTAGCTTAGAAATAATCGATTATTAACTAAAGGGTTGTTTGTTGACAATAAAATTGACTTAGGTACACGTTCACCGTCAGATAATATCCACAAATATTAGTACTAAGTTATTTATCGAATTAGAGAAAGGTGCACCTAAACTTTCGTCCGGGGCCTATGGTTCGACCTCTCCTATTCCTTTTTACTCGACTCGCTTTGTCCTTGCGGATTTCTCGAACAAGTGTGTAGAACGCGTCGTCGACGCCCATGCGGGTCTTAGCTGACGTCTCCACGAAAGGAACACCATAACTCCGCGCCACCTGAAATTGTAATAATCCAGCTTTACATAATTTCCATTTAATCGTGTTTCAGAACACTTTTAGGGCTGTTGAGGCATATGGATGGTACGGTCGTAAAACTTGCGATATGGCAATCCAAAATCCTGTTTTACCACCTTCTTGAAAGTTCCAGATAAAATTATGCGACACATATTAACTGTGTTGTATATTCAAATTTGTCTGGTCAATATAGTGGTATATACTATAGACATTGTAAAACAGGATCTAAACAGTCAATGTAATCTTTTTTGTTGCATTTTATTTACATGTAAATAATTAATTCCAGTTTCAGAATCATAAGTTTTCGCTTCGATACAAGGTTCCTATAGATATGACTACATACATATGGCGTAAATATAGTGCCCTCAGCCGTAAAATTTAGTGGCAAGTAAAAACTATAGAATGTCAACTACTACCGTTAAGTATATAATTTTCCTTATTGTATAGATATTCAGTGCCGTATAGTCAGATCAGCTGAAAACCCTAACACTTTAAGCAAGGAAGTAGCCCTACTTTATATGAAATAGGGCTACTATTTCTACCTAATTATTTTAAAACCAAATAAATCTTTAGGAATATTTGCTTATGTACCTTCCCTACTCATTCTTATTACCTACCTCATCCTTGCTGCTGTTGAATGGGAATATAAAAGTAAATATCGTGATAAGATAAATCTTAACATAATATACATAAAAATCTTAAGACATATGGATGCATATACGTTGGTACCAACCAGTTGATCTGGAAGCCAATATGTTGAAGACAGATCGGTTAAATGATGATGACCTCTGAGTTTGTTTCGGCATTTCTTCTCAGAGCAGTCAGATAGGAAATGCCGGCTTCATCTAGTTTTTCACATATAATTTGACGTGTAAATGTGCCGTTTTATGGCCCATTTGCAAAAATAAATTCATTGTTTCATTGATGATGAAACGACATATTATGACAACCACTGTGTTATTCCCTTGAATAATTTAAAGTACACATAACTTAGTATTCTACGACAGTTATGATCAACTATTTTGTTGAAGATTGGACACTCCCAATCCGACCTACTTTGCCTAACCCAGGATATGTTCAAGATGTCTAAAAGCCACGTATGCAACAACACCGAAAGTAATTTGTTAGGTTTTTATGTTCGATATCCGATACTTCGGCAAACTTACGAACGGATTAAAGTCAAAGGATTTATTTGCTCTTGAATACAGTTACCTACATAAAAGATGATACAATATATCAATGAGTTCAGTATTCAGTCATAAGCTAATGACATGCAAATGTTTGATAACAAGTTTTCTTCTTCTTCATTAATAACATTATTTTGGAAACTTGCATTGTAAAAATTTTTTTATAGATTAGAAAGGGTTCTCAATTTGCACACATCACATGGGGAAGCAACTACGTTTGTATAGCTCGGTTTTCATACTAGAAATACTACTACTACTTAATTTAGTTGTATATCTAGTTTTGAAGTTACTGTAATCTCCCACTTTTTCAAATAGCCATTTTTTAAATAAATGATGGAAAGCAATCAGCGCCGCCCATAGACACCCGCAACAATGGAGTCGTAACGAGTGCTTTGCCACCCTTTTGGGGATTAGAAATTTAGAGATTGAGAACGGATTGGGGGCCCTCCCCAATCCGTTCTCAATCTCTAAATTTCTGAAGGATTTCGCCTCCGGTAACCTCTAACTCATCTAAGTCACATGGCAAAACACAACGCTATGGTTATTTTACGCCGGTTTTCTGTGAGGCCGTCGTAAAACTCCGATCAAGCCGACCCATTAGTGCCGAAGCATGGCTCTCCCACACTTAAAAGGTACTTATACATAAATGTACAAAAAGCAGACAGATATCAGACGAAACAATAGACAAAGTTGTTTCTGTTTGACGAGGTGACGTAAATGAAACGTCTATGACGTCAAAGAAAGGCTAAAAAGCGGGTATGACGGGCGCCGGCACATGCTAAACGCATTTAGATTTGGGTAGGACGGGTAGGATGAATTTATTTCATTAGTTCATGACTGATATCGTCTGATATGTAGGTCAAACCTGTGTTAACAAGCTAGTAGAGCATAGGATTTTTGTTTGTAAAATGTTATAAATGTTTCTAATTTCAAACTTAAGAACTGTTCTGGAATAAGATATATCAGTCAATGCTCTTCAAGCCACAGCTGCCGCAGGGGGATACACTCCAGGGGATCGCGTGACGATCTCCGACCACCGTAAGCGCGAGTCTGCGGATTGCGAACGGGGGTAGTTCTTCGTCCAACCAGAACCAGATCCAAGGGAAGGGCGCATAGCGTTCCGCGTTTATCAAAAAGCAAGCAGGCACCACAGATGGAGCCCAATAGGGCTAATATTCAGCCAGGGTTGAGAGAGAGAAGCAGAAATCTCAGATTCTACCCAAGGCGAAAGACATTTGATGATTTCCCCTTCAAAAAAGTGACTATTTATGTGAAGGTAATATCCTGCATGCGACTTTTTGAATTAATATGCAGAGAATGTGCGCGTTGTAAACACAATTCTATAACCTAATGACAAATTAACTTCACTTGTCTGTCTCGGAAAATGCTTTCATGACAATTATTCACAATAACTTTAAAGAAATGTGTGTTTTGATATGCATAACACCTCTTTGTATTGCCCAATCGACAACAAAGGACCACTAACTAATAAAATATAAGTTTTAATCATAAATTATCCTAAACATACATGTCATCATGTCATGAAATGTGTTTCATTGCGTTACTCAATATTACCACTTTTGTAACAAATGACTCGACGGACTCCTACATTTTATAGATTAATCTTTATCAAAGAAATAGTGGATTTGTTGCACATTTTCCTTTAATTACTTTAGTACAAGCTAACGACACGTCAGTCGACATAAAGTGCTTGGAAATGCTTATTTATAAACATTTCCCCTGATATTTTTCATCCCATTTAATACGTATTGAATAAATAAGGCACTTGGTATTGTTATAGTAAAATTAAAATATACAAGAATCTCAACCGCAAAACAACCATCACTAAACTTGGTATCCGTTACCCTCGACAACAATACTACTATGACAGTTAAAGTTTGGTTGGCCACAAACTTTTACTCAAACCCTTCAAAGTTTAACTTCAGAAAGGGGCTTAAAGGTTAAAAGGTCGTACATTAAGTAATTTACTGGTAAACAGTATCCACAAATTCTAACAATTAATACAATTAGGAACTTCAAAAGTTCGTGGTTGCGAAAACAGGACATTTTGACCAGATGAAAAATTGAACAAATGATTTTTTTTGTTTCTAAGTTAACCGATCAAAGTCTTCAGTTTGACTGCACGATTGGCGCAGTGGCTGGGCAACTTGCTGCTGTGCAACGTGTCGCGGGTTCGATTTCCGCACGGAACAACATTGTTAATCCGCAGTTATGGAAGTTAAGTACCTAATACAAAACTCAGGAATGAAAAGAATATTCTATTCAAAACCACGGCCTCACTCAACTCTTTGTGTGAACCATAAATTGTTGTTCCGGGTCTAGGTGTCATGTGTATGTGAAATTGTATGTTTGTAACCGCACCCACGACACAGGAGAAAATATTATAGTGGGGCAACGTTTAAAAAAAAAACTCCAAAAGGCTGCCAACGCACTTGTACACCTCTAGATACGAGCGTGCATGAGCGACGGCAATTGACGACCAACAGGTGATCCGTTTACTCGTTTGCCGGCCTATAGACAAAACCTAAACTCTTTTGTTTCAATAAACAGTTACAGCATTTAAGTTACTCTAACGCTTGTAAAGAATTCCATAAATCAAATAGTAGCAGCAAATAATATCTCTCCTTCTCCTAGCCCTTTCCCAGTTATTTAGGCGTCAGTACAGATTTGGCTGAATACCACCAAATTTCTTTAAAATAATGTTACTCTAACGGTTGTAAAGAATTCCATAAATCAAATAGTAGCAGCAACTAAGATCAGCAATATCACCCCTTTTTTCTCCTGGCCCTTTCCCAGTTATTTAGGGGTCAGTACAGATTTAGCTGAACACCAAATTTCTTTAAAATAATGAAATTCGAAATCTGCATTTCTTACAAACTTAGCGACGAGGGCGCCATACAAGAACCTCGACCTAGACACAGCTATGCAAGTGTAACCTTGTTTCTGCCTAACGCTCTACCAGTATATCTTTGGTTAAAATTACCACAACAGACACGAGGAAGTTACTCATTCACGATGATTTGATTAAACTATACCTACAATGTCTTATTATACAGTAGCTTCATTTAAAACTCTTTAAAACAATGTTAAAATGACTAATGCTATAACAGTTATCCGTTTGTTATGTACTTGGCTTTAATGTATACTTCTGTACTTTATTACTAGAATATACGATTATGAAAATTAATAAAAATAATTGGAAGGAACGGAATAATCGACTACTGCCACTTTTAGACGCATATTTTGGAATAAAAAAGGGATTTCGAGAAGATCATATAGGAATAAAATATGTATGACCTAAAAATAATGGAGTAGGGTAGTTGGAGGTAGGGCCCAGAATTAAGTGTAGGAAAGTACCTTTATAAAACCTCCGGTTAACTAAAGAGATAAGGGTAAAGGAAAATTCATATTCGTAAATAGTGACGCAGACGCTGACCGTATAAAAGATTTGTATTAAGTTTAATTAGGATCACAAAATTCGTAAGAGCTGTTTTGTTATTTATTTTATTTTCTTTCTTTCTATAGAGATTCTTAGGGTACCTTACCCACAGCCTTCTCCATAGATCATTCAACAACTAAACTTAATTTTTATAGAAATAAAATTTTAAATGTAAGCAAGCTTATGGTTTTCAAGGCATTGTATAAGCCGAGAGGGTTTCAAACGAGGGGTGTTTGACATAAGTATCCAGTTGCTACGAATGCTATCGAAATAATAAACAAATAATGGAACATACCCTAATATAAGATAGGTCATGCGAAGACCACCCATAATTA